TACATTTCAAGTTCCAACAATAAGATCGACCTTTTCTCTACCCGTTTGGATGATATACGGTTAGAAATGAAAGACCTATCGTCCTCGTTTGTAACAAACGTCTCCTTTAAGAGACGCGTCGTCTGTGAGACTCTTACGAGGTACATTTCCTCAAAGTTTCAGAGGAGAGAAGATAGAAAGTATGTCGTACTGTACGAGGAGAAGCGATCATAATCCGAGCGGAAGTTCGTCTTAAGCTGCAAATCTCATTATCAGAGAGGTAAAAGTTGGCTCTGAGCTGTGGCACATATTGTTCAATTTACACTTTAATGGCCGGCTCTGGTAATTAGTCGGTATCTATCACGGCGTATCTTTAGGTATTTACATATCCATTACTGACAAGAATGATTGAAAGGGAAAATTAAAAAGATTTACAGTGTTAATCTTAGCGTAGTGATATTAATCTTATTATACAGAGAAAAAAGTCAAGGATTTCGTTGTATAAAAAAAATTAAAAAAAAAGGATTCTACGTTATTTACGTGATATAAAATTTCTATGGATTTCTTTACTCATATATTTTATAAAAAATCATTCTGTATTCACAATTTATTATGATATAAACAAATTCTCTTTTATCTATATAGTTTGTAGAATATTAGTCCAAAAATTCATCCTAGTCAACCCATATATGAAATTTTTACATCTTTTACAAAACATATATGTTTCCTATATCTTTTGCCAAAAATTAATTCTTTGTAAAGGATACCTAAAAAAATTGCCCATTTTGACCATACTCGCCGTACAGTGTCAAAATCGTACCACGAACACGCAATGCAACGTGACGTACGATACTTTCTAAGCCACGTTTCGCTCATCATCAAACTTTCGTACACCCGGATATCCATATTTAAATGGTCCACCTGCGATTATTGTAGATATTCGAAACGAGGTCAGAGCATCGGTCCTGTCAGTTAGGAGTCAAGGAGCCTAAAATCTCTTTGTGTTGCTTCTTTGCGATCGCGACGTTTACCGTCGATTGATAGTCAGTGCCGTTACGCACCTTAGCAGTGGATAAAAATGGCCCACAGTCGAATTTCGTTTATCCGAGTGACCTCGAAAGGTCTGGATGGCAATTTGTATGGAGAAACAAGCGATTTGATATCGCGTATTCCTCATGCTGGTGCCGTTATCGTACACCGTGTCTCTTGCACCACGTCCCTTGCCATCGAAGTAACGCGAACGCTCGGGGGTCAAGCAAAAATCCGAGATACGACTCGGTCATTAATCAGTAGATCGGAGCACGTTATTTGTTCGTAGTTACGGAATCGTTGCGGTGTTAATCGCGGAATTTTATCACAATTTACCGACTATTGTACGAGGAAGGGGAAGCGGATGAAATATTAGACAAAAATTACATGTTATAGATGTTGCATGATTGCGCTTTACACGTCGATCTTTTAGATTGTTACGTCATATCCTACCGGGCAAAAGTTTGCAACCATTAATCGTTTCGTGATAGTCAGAAGTTAAATAGAAAGAAATTTTTGCCTTAGAAAAACTTGCATTGCATACAACCGGTCGAAAGGCTCGGAAGAAATTTAGAAAAAAATTGATTCGAGATTTCTATTACCCTGGAAAATTCTCTCGTGTGAAACTTTTTCATAGAATTGGGGAAAAAGTTACTGCGAATATTTAAAGAAAAATTAATGGAAGATTCAATATGAGTAAAATTACGGTATTTTTCTCTGCTGGGATGCTTTAACGAAACCTTTTATCATATTAATTTAAAGATTCTTTTTAGAAAGTCACTAGAGAATAACAGCATCGCGATGTACGAAGATATTTGCCAATATAAATTCTTGTCGTCCAATGTGACATTTTTCAAATTCTCTCACAGGAGGTACAAGAATCTCCGTAAATCCGGGACAGCTCTGCTTTAGGGCATCAGAGAATGGCTCTTTTAAAGCTTTCCTCTTTATATATCTCTGGGATCGTATTGAAGTTTGACACATGATATTGATCTCATGTTTTATAAGTTCTATATGCTGCCATCATATTTCTTCGACATTGTGAAAGTTATCTATCATCGTCCAATTTTAAATGACAGTACTGATTGGGCGTACGGAATGATAATTCCATGTTTAATGTGCTTGTAATGATACGAACGATGAGAGTGTGATCCAATTCGCATTCGACGCACAAATAAGACGTAGCACGCACGAGGTTTTCATCAAGGATCGATTAATCCGTGATTAAAGCTTACTCAATAACTCGATATCAACTACAAGTCATCGTAAATGTACGTTGAAACCCTAACACGAATTGGCTCTTGAGACTAGTAATCGAAAAGTTCACTTAATGCTCGTACGTAGTCAGAAAGTGATTCTTGGAAATGATTTGCTAAAATATTTGCCAACTGATTGAGTCATAAATTAGTTGTTTTTATAGTTATTACGAACCTACTCAAAGAAATGAAAATTAAAACCTTAGGAATCACGTTCTTTTATATTTTGCAGCATGTTGGTTCACTCTTTGAAATTGTCGATATTTACTCACAAACTAGTTATTTTTCCACCAATTTCTAGAGTTATTAAATAAAAATTAGAAAACCACACCCGTTTTTAGTTTAAGGAAATTTATATCGATTCGATTTTTAAAATTATCATTTTAGACAAAATTTATTTTGCGAAAATATAGATAGATATATCTACGAGGTTCTATGTAGAAAATAATTTTAAATTAATCTTAAACAATTAACTGTGATTTGAGAATCTACCAAGATGACATTAAGATAAGGTGAACTTTATCGTACACGTGTCATATTATGACACTTGGTCTTAAAATGTACTTAGATAATCTTTTTTGGACATTTGTGCATTACGAAATCATCACAATTATCGTTCGATTGCTGACACAATTGACAACTGCAATTACAATCTTTATCGGTAGAAACATGAAATACACGTGGAACGTAAACACGATAATTAAAATGTGGTTTTGTTACGAACACCAAGGAAAATTCTCCAAGAACGTAAAAGCAAACAATCCGATAGTTACGTAAGAGAAGAATAAAATCTACAGCCGATAAAGCGCAAGCTTCGGAATACCTCCGCGAAACAACTATGTAATTAAGACTTTAACCTCTCCGATGACTTGGACGATATTCCCACTAGAGAGTAAAATCTAATTACATCCTCGAAGATAGTTAGACGTAATTGAAAAGTTTCTTCGCCGGGGCATTTTAATCGTACATAAATTATACGCTTGATTATCCACCACCGTTGCTCGAAACTGGCTACGAAAGTTGTTAGCCAAAAGTTTATGCTCGCTATGTATGCATATATCGTGAAACTCAAGAATTTTACAGAAGTCAGCTTAACATTTAAGAAAGGATCCAGGAATCTTAAAAGGAATGCCTTTTTGGTACTGAGCTAATGTTATTAGTGAAATTTTACAAGTCACATTATAAACGATGTCTGGTGATATTACTATAGCCTCAGCAGTTAGAGATTGCCAAAAAAGTGAATTATGATAAGTTTGAAAACATGTACGTGTTTATATTCATTAATTTATATATTTATTATTATACTCCTACCTTCTTATTTTTTACAAATTCATGGTTATTGATTGTTTCTTCATACGTAATGAAATACCTCTCGTTGAAAATTATCATTGACATCGTTGTAGTGATAAATTCTTGTAAAAATGTTCGCGAACTTTTTACGCCATTTTCGTTTCGCTACTCGTCCATGATACAGGTATAGTGAAAGATTTTCTACCCCGAGTCGTCGATTAAATCGTGTAACGAGTGCGTAAAAAATGAAAAACAGAACATGCTATATAATACGTGAGCAACGGATAAAGTTTCGTGTCGAGGGTGCCTTTCGCTTCGTGTTATGTTACAAAATTTAATCGTGACATTTTTCGATAGGATCTACTGACCTTTTCGTGCCAGTTTTTCGTTTGGTGGCTGGTCAAAGACTGGCTGAAAACTAGTGACTTTTAGCAGTTCGTTGAAACCAGACGACTGACATTCAACGGTTCTGGTCACATCAAACTGCCAGTTTGTTATAATTATTCGACGAAACGAACAAATTCGATCGAAACGGATCTTGTGTATGTACATAATGTATTGTATATTGTTTTTGAATTTACAAACGATGGTACAAACGATACAAAAAGAACATCGAAGAAACGTAAATGAATGGGTCTAGTCACTATCAAAGCGTTTTATAGAGTGGAACATTTCAGATATTCATGCTCGGTAAAAAATAACGCTCAAGAAATATCGAAAAACTATCTCACAATGTTGTTCGAATGACCATATCAAGACATAAGAAAAGGAAAAATTAATAATTGCACAATTATCACGTGATGAACGTTTGAGAAATTAAAGTGTTACTCAAAACCGTAGAATTTTATCCCTACGTAATGCAATTTTCTTTTACAAAGAAGAAATTTTGGAATAATTTAAACTAGTACGACAGATGATAAAGTATTGCAAAATTTTATTATTAGCTTTTTAGTTAAAGTAGAGTAACCGGATACCAAATTGAGCGTCGTCTTTAATTAAATTGAATTACATTAGATTTACTTCTTTGCTTGAAGGAACAGAGTAGATCGACAGCCGAGGTTTGGAACGAGAATTTGTATTTCCACCATTTTATACAGAATAGAAAATAGAACACTACGATGCTCTTTTCAATTACACACTTACTTGAAAATATATTTTATAATTTTGTGTGTCTGTAGAATAAAAAATAGTCTACAAGAATGAAACAAAAAATCGAGAGACGAAGTTAGATTCACTTTTAATGCCAAAACTAGTCTTCAATATGTATCAAAATGTTCCACATATAAATCATTATAATTTAAATGATTTATAAATTAAAATAAATTGATTCGTACAATTATGTTTTAATGTTCATTTTGATAAGATATATTATATCTTTATACAGTACATTTAAGTAATTAAATTATATTTTAGAATTAGTCAAGCAATTATAAAGAAGTTCCAGTGTTAAATTACAAAGAAATCACTCTATGGAATATCGTCGGATTAACAGGAATTCGTATCGCTATAATTTCGTGTGTCAACTGTAATAAAAAAAAGAAAAAGAAGAAAGGAACAGCAGAAAGGAATGAAGGTGTAAGGAAATCTAACGATCGAGAGGCGAGGTTTCTTCACCTTGCGTTCCAATCTTCCATCTCGTGTCTCAGAGCCATTATTTTCCATCGTTTCCACGTCGCAATGCTCCGATTCCGTGCGACCGTTCACCGCATTCAAATAGCTTCGCGGTAATAATAATGATCGGTGTAATTGCGTGCGCGTTCTGCATAATGGCCGAACGGCACTCACTCGAATAAAACCGGTGACAGGATGACTATATCGCGCGAGATTTCTACGACACCGGGGATTTAACAGCCGCTACCTTACGAGGATTTGTCATTAGCACCGTTCCGGCGCAATATCCCATTGACAACCGAGTGTTTCTTGCTTTCCTGCCGCAACCACTGTCCCGTTTGAAGGATCGTTTCCCACCGTGTTTGACAATTTGTCTGCAATCGCGTGGACAGCTCCCCAGTTGATTGAGTGCGAGTGTAATTCGCTGAAAAAATTGCCCGAGATATTTAGTTGATAATACCACGGAGAGAAGGAACGCCTGCGATAATCGATGTTTCTCTTTTCTCGTGATATTATATAGTTTTCCAGACCAACGAGGGCTAACGAAATCGTGCGATACAGAATACCATTAAACTCGTTTCGTCGTGTTTCACCTCTCGAAAAGGTACGTTCATTCGGAAATAGAAGCTGTGGAATAATTTTCGACAAAAAATGATCTTAATCGATGCCTCTAGCGATTTTTGGTCTTCCTCCACGAAGAAAGTAAGAAGCTAACATGTGAACGTGTATTAAAAAGTAAATAATGTAATTTAAGCTCGAACGACACGCGAAACAGCTCGTGGAACAACTTTTTCCATCGATCGCGAGGACCATAAAATATTTCAACTGTGCAAACGCGACTACGCTCTCTGCAACGAACTTTCTTCAATTCTCGATTGAATTTTCAATTTCGTCAGCCGACAGAGAGCCCAGCTCGTGCACCTCGATTTTCCTAATAATTTCGAAATAATGATATCGGAGGTTAAGCCAACTTGGCGGAAAAAGAGAAAAAAAAAGTTAATTAGAGTTTCTCTGACTGACCAGCCGCGGTTCGCAGACCGGCCAGAGGAATAATCAAGTGACGTGAAACACGGCGCAATGGGCAGAATGATAGTAATGATGTCATTACCACTTTTCCTCTCACTGAAGCAGCCAACGTTCGTGCTCTCCGAGACCTTGCCACGGACAACGCCCAGGTTCGCGGTTCTTCGCATAAGTTCACGTGCTATGATTGCTCTTGAGCGATCTCCGGCTAAATTGCGCCGAATTAGTAATCTAGGAGATACTTTCCAAGGCCAGGAGCAAGAGAAACGAACCAGACGCACCAAGTGGTGAGCGGTTTATTGCATTATGGCGAAAGACGGAGGTTCGTGGATTCGAATTACCAGCGAGATAAAACGGTTCTTTATTTCTCGCACCTTTGGTATTACAGGTTATTATGGGTCATACAATTCCTCGTTGAATCGAGAATTTTTATTGTTTATCAGGAGATCCTGGTATCTCTTCCTCGGATAAAAAAATACGCTTTTCTTACATTTGTGTCTCGTAAAGATTTTATGCGATAGTTGGTCGTTGAAACAGGTGTTGTTATGCGATTGATAGATATTTACAAAGGTATACAGCGCAAGGGTGTGTGCATTGTTTCGCTAGGTTCACATTTCGATCATTCAGTCAGTCGTGACGAAACAAAATCAACGACGTACCATAACAATGTTTGCAACGCTGGAAGTTGAAAATCGATGTACCCAGTCCAATTCAAGTCGATTTGTTCGTGAGTGGGCACGTAGTAAGAGGTCAGAAATTGCCGATAATTTGGTAGAAAGTCTTTCGCGGAAAGCGAAAGTAGGGTTGCAAGTCTGTAAAAGGAAATGAACGAAATATTAAATTAAGATACCGGTGAACATCGTGACAGACTTGGCAACAGACGCGATAACATCTACCCCAAATATTTCATCACCGTTACGTGAAACACAGATTATATCGTGTCGTGATTTCAATTAATTCCTCAACGCGGTTTCTCAACGCGTCGAAAACGTAAATTCGTAATAGCGTCATTTTGCTTCTACGATTGTTTCAATCGTTCGTAGTAGATACAGCAGAACATAAAGTTTATGAATGTACGACGCGTTTATATTTTCGTGAGTTTATTGTGCGAAACGAATTTCAAGCTGCAAGATATTTATTGCAACTATGTATGAAGTTACATAGACATTCAACTCGTAAAAATTTTTATTTTAGATTCTTTTGCTATTGATAATCTTTCTAAATTATTTTTTAAGTTATTCTAACACTGTTATGACAATTCGAAGGAAAACGTCTGTATTTAATTATGAATGTTCTTCGTTCAAATGATTTTTTCACATTCGTCCAAGAATTAGGTAGTCAATTTTTCAATAATATTCAGCTCTTAACAATTACTATGTTTAAGATAGTTATTTATGCCATACGTGCTTACTTTCTATTAAATATAGTAAATATCTTGTAATTTTTGCATAAACATATATTGATTTTAAATTAATATATTAAATTAAATTATATATTAACTATATATATTATTGACTAATATATTATACTTAAATGATATATTGTAATTGTAACAATAGCAACAAACAATTTAAAAATGTTCTAATACATACAATATTCGTGTATGTATGCAATTTGATAAATATAAAAAACATAATAAATATAATTCGATAAATAAGTAGACAAATATATTAAATATAATTTATAATAGCAGTGAAATTTTAAAATATCTTGTCCAACATAATTTCCTACGACAAGCGAATTCGTGTACTTTTGTGAGTACTTATATTGTATCTCATCGCTTACGTTCAATTACAATCGTAATGAGGATTTCGTAGCTTTTTGCGTATCACGGTTCGTTGTCACAAAAGTGGGAAAAGAGAGAGAGACAGATAAATGGATACAGAGACACAGAGAGAGGGAGAGAGAGTGAAAGAGATAAAGAGATACATAGTTACTTCGCATTGCAAATTGCATGTTTCGCAGTTTTAGATGACATCGTGCGAACGATCATGTCAAACACAGGCCTTCCACACGCGGACCGTAACGAACGTATTCTGCAAATCGGTCTGTACTACAATTTGTTCGCAACGCGCGATGGAAAAGCGAGTTAAGCGCACGGTGCCTAAGCGTTAATTAAAAAAGATTAACGCGCGCGGATAAAGGAAAAGAAAGAAAGATTAACAGAGACGGAGATCATAATGGATATACGGGCCGCATTAACGCGAGTAATTCAGTAGAACCAGATGTTTCCGCGATTAGATAACATTGATAGAATTGTGAAATACAATAGGACCCTCGTAGAACCAAAGGAAATTACGTTGTACATTGTTGTCGTGGTTCGACAAATTTCCCCAGTAATTGGACAAAATGAATTAATAAATGCTCGTTATCAGGTGATTGAAATGATTCAGATACGCACGCACTGTGAAATAATTGCGTTCCGCCGTAAATATTAATTTATGTTAATTGAATACGATCGCGGTTGCCTCAGAACTAAAACGTATGGCGAAAGAATTTCGCTAGATTTCAGGAAGAGATAACAGTCTCCGAGTCTAATTGAGAGAAACGTCGACGATGAACGCGATGATATAATATCGATACATCGATACATCGATAATCTTGAGAAATCTCCGCAACAATCTCGCCACACAAAGACGTTTCTCAACGTTTCTCGTACGCGCGAGCTCCCTCTTTCTCTCCTATTCGTATCTTTTTTTTTATCTAACTTTCACGATCGATCCGCGTCTTCCGTCAAAATTAAATCGTTCGTGCTCCCACACAAGAAAATTACGTAAAGCGCTGCTCTGGCGCATTATGCCGTAATACGTTGCTTTTCTCCGCGATTAAAAGACCATTTGAACGTCTGCCGTAACGTAACGCCGGTCAGAAATTGAGCTGTTCGTTCCCATACGATGAGCTGTTCGTAACGCTGTGCGTGCGCGCCACTACGATTTGAAAACCACGTCGTCGTCGTCGTCGTCAGAGGCGCGCTCGCACCTATCAACGTACGTGCAAGGAAAGAGGAAAGTTAAAAAAAAAAAAAAAAAAAGAAAAAAGAAGTAACTGAAACTTTTCGCGCGAAGAACGAAATTGTAAGCTCGACGCTCGTTGGAACGTAATTACTCGATTTTACTGTCAGGCAACCTTCTAATTCGGCTAATTAAAAGTATCGCGAGCGGCGTGAAATCCGGCTGGCTGGCTACAGCGTGAAACGCGCGACGAATCAGATGGTAGTTACCACCGAGTATACTCTGTATCCTCGAGTGCGAGTTACACGAACGGCAAAGCTCGTACGCCGACGGAACCAACTCGTGCGTAATCGCGAGAAATCTTCAATTAAGTCGTCTAACGATCAACGAGGTGGTTAGAGAGGAATTTTACGATGCGAGTGGAGCCTGATGAGCTGGAACACGCGGAATCGGTGACGAAACACACGAAGCAAATCTCATTGTTTCAAAGTAGCTGGCAGTTAGATCGTTCGTTCAGCGCGTGATGCATGAAACACGACGTGGGATCGCGATCAGAAACGAAGCGCTTGATCAAAGGCCGGGTTTGGTCCGGATGTGGTTTTCAGCTGGGAGTTGCTCGGTTGCTTGTACCTACCACGGATAATGCACGGTGAATTTTAATCGACCTCCGTTTATGTGCAAACCTAATATCTCCGTGTATCGTGAGAGCCGACGTTTTCGTGAGAGTACAGATTTTCTAATAAGGGATGCGTGGTACTCTCGCAGGTGTACTCTCTTTCTTGCCTGTTTTGCAACGGCCGCGCAACACGATCCAATGTTAATGTACACGAAATGCATACTCTGTTTCTCGAATTGTTTCAACTTCTCGTTCGTTGGAAGAGAAAGGTACAAAACAGCAAAGCGATCTAAGAAAAACTTGAAGAATTCAATAAAATACCATGTGCCATTCTAGATCTGACTAATGTAAAGGATACTTTTATCGAAACAATGCTAGTGAGATCTAGAATTGTACATACTACTTACAAATACTATTTTATTGAATTATCGACTTAGATGTTCGATTTCGGGAAAATAGAAAATTTCGCGAAAGAAAATATCAAGAATGATAAAAAATATTGAAGAGCTATGAAATAATGTTAATCGTAATGATGGTCTGTTCTAAAATGATACGTTCTACTTAAATTGTACTTAACTGAATACTTTATATTTTTTATTTGCGCCATCGTTTAAATTTTGGAAGTAAAGAACTAATACAAAAAAAGACAGAATGTTAAATTTTTGAAGATTCTTTAATTAAAGTCAATGGATTCTGAAGCAAAATTTGTGTAAATCGCGATTTCAATGATCTTGTACATATGTAAATATATTATGTTTAATATTTTTTAAAAATATATATCTATAAATTAAACTAATTTATATTTGTATCATATTATTTTGTCATTATATTAATTTATTTTATATTACTGTTATATTTATTAATTTATATTTTAATTTTGTCATTTTTTGACGTTTTACGGACACTGTTCCTCAAAATATACCCATAGTTGAAGGTTCAACTTTTATAACTCTGAGGTTCTACTTATATCATTCTATCAAAGTTGCATATTAAAAAGAGAAAGAGCGTTAAAGATTTGTAGAAGATTTCTTATCATCATGATGAACTGTTTCAAATTTCCACTAGCCATATTTCTGATTTCACCTTCGAAAAAGTAAAGTATAGAGCCGCGAGGAAGGTGAACCGTCAAGAATTTATAAAAGATCCTTTAATCGCAATGACGTGGGTCAATTTCGAAATCGTGCCATATCTATTCCATCGAATTTTTTCTAATTTTTCCCCGCTTCGACGGTCACAGAACAAGAGGAGGGACAGATTAGATATCGAGTCCGTTATCTGGTCGTTAAGAAAGAAAAAAAAAAAAAAAGGAAAAAGAAATTCATATCGCGATCTTGTTGATCAACCGATTACACGTTTTTTTATATTGGTACAATTAAATACGAATTAACGGACGCGAAAACGCGGTGCTTTACCGCGTTCGAAACGCAAGTGAATGTGACTATCTCTTTGCCGCGTACATTGGAGCCGTCCACGCGGAACGCTTACGTGACCGAACCTTTTTCCGCGCCGTGCTATCGCAAGAGAATTTATTAACCGATAACGAACACCGCGTGTAGCCTGTACGGCCGGGCTTCTCGTGTCTTCGCCTTCGCCGCCAGTTGAAAAGTCGACTTAACCACCGAGAAGTCTGCTTTTACCTTCTCGACTTGCCGACGATTCCCTACTGTTCAATTACGTAATCGAAACGGAAGGTATAAGCTTAAATATCATTTCGGGAGGGGCACGGGGAATTTATGTACGACCAATTCGTGTATTAATTAGCGCTCGGCGCAGAACGCTCATCGCCGTAATTGATATCGCATTAACGGCACGTGTTTGCATTTGTAACGAGCATCGCCGTACGT